GACCTCTAATCTTCTGCCATCTCAGTGGCAATTAATGGCCTATTGGTCTGCCCTGGCTGTGTCACTTCTACACACCACAGACAAAAGACAGTGCTGCAAGGGTGTTTTGCAAAATCTCAAATAGCAGTTAGGCTTCAGAAAAACTCCTTGGTAGATGGGTCAGGAGCTAGGCTTTACCTGGCCATCACTGGAGGGGAAGCGTGCAGGCTGCATGTCACATCTCCAATATTTCTTAGGATCCCTGGCTGCCTCCACCTCTGCAGCACGTCCCGTACACCTCCCCCTTCCAGCTAGCTGTCTTTGCATCTCCTCCCTGAGCAGGACAACAACAGTAGCAACTGATGGCCTACCACCACAAACGTGCTCATCACACTGATATGTGCCACTAAATGCTGCATGAGCCAACGTCACAGACGCAGAGCTGGTACCAGCCACCACTACTGCTGCCAAAGGGGAAAATACCTGACAAAGAAAACACCCTGACATAAAGTCTGTGTGGTCGCCAGAATAAGAGAAAGCAGCACTGTAAAATGACTCCTCAGAACTCAAGGATCACCAGTCTGTGAATCAGTGGTATGTTGCTCATAAATACAGATTTAGATGTCTTACCTCTACAAAAGCACACTGGAAAAGTATGTAATATGTACAAGAGCTATATGTAGGGGAGGGCAAGCCTCTCTTGAAACATTTCCTGCACAAGCTCTGAGTATAAGGCCATCCCTTCAAAGTGTCCCAAATGATGGCTAGGCTCCCAGACAGATTTTTAAAATGTGAAGATGGGGGGGGAGGTATTTTTTAAATGCCAGTCAAAAGGAGGAGGTGAAATCCAGGCCTCGATCACACACAGTAGAATTTGGTCAGTTTTAGGGCAGTCACTTTTATGCAATGTCTATTTTGCCATGCCGCAGTGCTGCAAACACCCCACAGGCTCAGATTCCTGACAAGCACATACCACCAAAATCAGCGGGGCTAGCTGAGTACCTCCATAGTGGCTTGTTGGAGAGCGGAACAAGGCAACACCTTCTGCTGTAAGGACAGCCTGTCAGTGTGCAGGTGCTCACCCCAGTGATAGCTCTGGAGTTCCAGGGGCTCAAAGGCATGGCAGGCAAACAAAATAGCTACCAGGGGAAAAGTACTAGCACCCACACTCTTGGGAGTGGCTGTGTTTGAATGAAAATGTCCACATGACTAGCAAAGATAACTGCTCACACACTGTCTTAATGATCTAAGCAAGCTTTTGCTGGATACTACAGAAGCAGCATTCTCTCTTTGTTTGCCAGGCTACATTCCCAGAAATACAAAAGCTTGCCCTGAATTTGCTTACAACTTGTGCTCCACTTACTGCTTAACACTGTTCCGTAGCACAAACAGCGTTCATTTCTAGCACACTAGCTGTTTTGCCAGCAGGCCTAAGGAGATACTGCCCCAAAAGGCACAGCTTCTTTTTAGATCCTTTTCTTTCACAGTACATGGAAAGGATCCAGTTTCGTTTTATTTCTATTATAAAAAAGCAAGCAGCGGGAACAGATAAGCTCATAGTAATAAATATACTATGAAGATGAGGAAAAAAAATTGTGAAGAGTTAATCTATGCAGCAACTCGGCCAGCCTCGGAAGACTGGGAGACCTCTGCAGGCTCCAGAGGGAAGTCCTGTACCGCAGTGAAGGCTGACAGGAGCGGCTGAAGTTGCTCTCAGTATCTCATATGCATCCGTTTAATCTGTATTAAAGCCCTGGAAAGGGATGTCTCCACAGGCTGTGGCCACTATGACCCCTTCTACCACTGCAGCAGCTTCTATCCAACCTTAAAATAAATTTTTTTGGTCTTTTGTAGAGAATAATTATCAGTCCCAGATACACATATCTGCAACACCTCCTTTCTTGCTTTTGCTTTTCTCTTTTCAGCTCAGCTCATAGTAGCAGCAAACTCTATTGCAGGCTCTCTTGTAAACATAAAGGGAAGAAATACCATGGCTACCTTCTAAAATCTGCACAGCAGATGAAAAGAACAGGTTAAGGAAATAGGTTAGAAGAGTGCATTTTCAGAGCACAGTTGTTCTCATTCGTCAAAGAAGGTACCCCTGCCTTCAAGCATCCCATGCAGAAAAGCTCTTGGGAGGGCACACAGCAAGCATTGACAAATGCCTTGCACCTTTGCAAAAAGCAACAGAAAAAGTGTGGGCTGAGCATGTTAGAGGTACTGACTGCTTCTGGGCTACAGGTGAATACTGGGAGAGGTTCTTCAGCCACTCTAATCCATTTCCTTCCTTTGCTTGGTTCACCTCTCAGATCCTAGAACTTGACCATACTGAGTCTCTTCTGTAAAAAAGGCATTTTGAAGAGACCTACACTTCTGGCAAGCTCAGCAACTGGGCTTGTTCCTGATAACACAGAGAAACTGTGGAACAGACAGGCTATAAGATACCTGGCACTATCGCAGACAGTCTCAAAAAAAAAGAGTTTTCTTCATGGAAATCTGTCAATTTCTGTTTTTCTTAAGAGTGTTAATATTGCTATACTTCACAAAACTACTTTATAGATGCGAGGTCTTCCCAGTTGTAACTCACAACTACAAACTGTTTAACATGAAACCGTAAGGATAACAAGTATATCACACTCTAACACAGCTTGTTCATTTTTTCTGTATGGAGAAAAACTTCACTGGATTAACTGCATTTAAACAGTGTTTAAGTGCTTGCTGAGGGGCTGGGAAGAGTACAACTAAACTCCACTCCTACTACCAAAGCGGCACACCTTGAGTACACACTGCGATGTGGTGACTGAATCCTGGACACAGCCTAGCTTAAGGAATCCCACGGTTAGATCCCCTGTACACACAGCGCATTTCTTGTCTTCTCTCTTCCTCTCATGGTTGTGTTCTATCAAACTGTTCTAGCCACTGGTTTGAAGTCCTGCTACAGACTCGACTCTGGATATAGCAAGGCTCTCTTAAGGCTTCCTGAAGGTTGGTGCATCTCCCTGGGGTCTGTTGTCTCTAAGCAAAGCGGACTGGAAGAGCTGAAGTGGGAGCCAGGGTCGAAGGAGGACATCGCTGCAGACACTCCGGCTTCTGAAAGCACAGTGACTCTCACCCAGGAGTGGGATGAGGCTGCAGTATGCAGTCCTTGCCTTCAGAAGCAGTGGTGTCCCAGGACCACAGTTTCTAATAAAATTTATTAGTTTGCCAGAAGGGAAGAAAAACCTACATGATTGTTTCCATTTTTCATTTTGCTTCCTTTTATGAACAGTTGCATCATGCTGTCTTGCATCTGTCTGTAAGGGAGAGGGACGTGTAATTTGCTTCACTCCAGACAGAGGTGCAATGCATTAGGGTGCACCCCAACGCAGTCTTGCAGTTGCCTGAGCCCTGGACCGACAGCAGGGAGACCAGTTCAGCCTTGAACTCTGCTGCTCAGCACCAGCTGGATTGGCGATTTGTTTCTTGCAGGTCAGGGATCCAGTGGCACTTTGAAATGATTCTCACTGAGTAAGTACACAAACAGATCTTTAAATACAGGAGGGCTTTCTGAGGGCTGCATGGGGAAATTGGGCCAAAAAGATTAAGCTTAAAACATTTCTGGAGATGTATTGCCTTTTAATGGCTACATTTTAATGGTGTTTCTGTGGGCACATTAAGGTGTTACATGTTACACCCATGAGATGTCAAGGATACAGCTGACAAAAACTGAGAGCTCTGCTTCTAGGCTTCTGGGTGTGTTCCTGTTCTGCATCCCTTCCAAGAGAAGAACACAGAACAGATATCCCACTCTATGGGAAGGAATATATCTCCCTAAACAAAAATAACAGAAGGTATACTTGCCTTTATCAAGCACCAACACCCTTCTTTAGGATACAGCAACTCTGTCACAATGTAACACAATAACCTACAGGTTTGTGTATGTATATATGCAGGTTTGTATATGTATGTGCCTACATATTATATATACTTATATATGCACACATACACAAACATTTTGACAGCTGCTTTTCATGCTCCAAAAGAGCTGACTTGTGTGGAAAACCTAGCCCAAAAGGCTTGTTTTACCTCTAAACAGGTTACCTATTCATAACAAATCATTCCACCATACACACACACACACTTTCACAACCCTTTGATTCTTAAATTCCTTTGTTAAGTCCTGCCTTTATTTAGATTATAAAATCTCTGTGGCACTAGCTGCTTTTCTTTTCCATAAGTGCCCAGTCCACTTCTGGCATCTATAAAATAAATCATGGAGACGAAGACACTGGGTCAGTGTTTCCGAAGCCCTGACACAACCTCTCTTCCAGTGCAATGCTTGAGAAAGGAAAAGGAAAAAGTATCACTTGCTGAAACATCTCTTCATACAGCTCACTAGAGACGCCTGCCTCAATCTGATAACAAGACTTCCTGTACCCTATACAAAGCTGGCAGAGATGCCTTAATATTGACAAGCACAAATTGCATGCTTGAGTTTTTGTTAATTGTTTATGGACTGAATAGCCAGCATTTCTTAAAGAAACAGAGCAGAGATCTCAGGCCTCACAGTAAAGCTTTTGTATACCCTCTTTTTAATGGCCACTCTTTAACTTTTATGAAAACTGCCTTTGTCTGGATTTACCATTCTCCAAATGGTTTTAGCATTCAAAGTCTTTTTAGCTTGCGAAAATCAGGTAAGGAAATAATTAGAAATACATAACAAATAAATTAGGTTTCCCCCTAGTCACACTAAACAAAATAGAAGCAAAAAGTAGAACAAGCTTAGTTTTTCAAACCATGAAAGGAACAGAAGTCAAGACTGGTTTAAAAACTGATCTCCTTAGACAGGCAAACAGACAGAATTATATCAAAGATAACAGAACCATGATGATTTCGATCCTCTTAAGAGCTACCTCGCAGTTTTATTTTGTGGGTTTTGTTTGGGGTTTTTTTTAAACATGTAGCTCCTCTTTCAAGATGAATATTAGAAACAAATAGGAAAGCCCTCATATCAACAGAAACAATAAAGCACCAGCACAAACCTGTGTTTCCTTGGATGTCCTCTCCCTTGGTTAACGCCAGGTAAGAGAGCAGAGCACAGTTATTGTCCTGACCAGGCGCAGGTGGCTGCTGCAGGGAGGTGCCCGTGAAGACCACTCCCCAGTTTACATGGCTGATATCAGAGCGTGACCTGTTGTGTCCCGGCTTGAATGTGGAGGCTTCCTCATTCTGCACCAGGATGTCATTCACCGAGCGAGGCCTGTCTCTCCTCCGTTGGCAGATATTGAAGATGTTAAAAGTTGTGGTCTCCCCTTCCCCTGCCCAAGCAAGGTTGTCAGCAGCTGTTCCCCTCTGCACCACCCGCTGATCTTTGGCAGGGAACGCTGTCTGAGCTTTGGTTTCCAAGAGGCCATTTTTGCAGTGGTCCCAGATGAAGCTACTTTTGGCTAAGGAGGCGACGTTCCTCAGATTCCTGCTCTCTGTTATCTGATCAAATACCTCGTGCCCAACCAGTTCTGGGACCTCCTGTACACCATACACCTCAGAGGGCTGCACAATCTTTTCAAGCTTAGTATCAAGACTATTGAAAAAGTCTTCAGTCACTTCCAAGGCAGGACTAATGTCATCAACTTCAAGAGCCTCCATATCCTGTGCTGCCAGTGCGCCCAAGGTGTCGTGATGTGTTAACAAGATACCACATCAATATCCAAAGAAAGAGCTGCTTCACATCTGTCCCTGGCACACCATTAACTTAGAGGTGGTGGGGAAAATACATTCACTAATCACAATCCTTAGTGGCAGAAATCAACCTGTCTTCAGATGGGAGACTTAACATCCACTGATCAAGTGGGCTACAATCCCTTTATGAAGCAAATGATGGAGAGTAACCTGTAAAACAAAGCAAAACACCACATTATTAAGGGCCTTTTCCTGGATAAATGTTTAATCACATCACTCTTTTCATAGTCACAGTCTCCTTGATCTTTGGTTTCTCCTTCATTTGGCACCAACATTACTGTGTATGAAGAACCCCTTTGAGGTGTCTGTTGCTCACTGTGTGCGCACTCTGTGTATTACCACTTCTTGAACCAGAACCTGCACTGGAGCACCAGTTAAAAGGGAACCAAAGTGATGCCATTTATTAACCAAGCTTTAGAAAGCTGCACTGAGAGGCAGTACTGACTAAAATCAGAAATGCAGTCACCTAGGGAATGCTTAGCACAGGTTCCCATGGGACTGTAAGAAAAAGTTGAGAAACGAAGGGTTAGTAAAATAGGCCAATCAGCCTCAAATAATTTGTCTTTTTCTCCCAGATCGCTCACACTCCCAATTTTAGGAGGCCAACATGAGTTTCACAGCAGCTGCTTCACCTTCTTGTCTGCATAAACAGAACTGTGATATTTGCCTAATAAATCAATACTACTAGGCTGCTGTCAAGTGCTGCACATAAAGATTTTTTTCTAAAATATCACTGTGAACCTAAGTGAAACCACATGGCAACCTAAAATCCAGAAAGCGGATGCATCCTACCAGCAAAACAAAATATACCATATCCTGTACCATCACAAATCTGTAGATCTTTACTTCCAAACTGTTGACTCACTGGGCAAAACGGCAGAATAGCAAAGGGCTTTAAGGCTACAACTATTGAAGAGCTGTACTGACACACCTGAGCTCATGCCTGTGAGGAGGAAGAAAGGGGGGTTTTTATTCCCTGTGGTGCAATAAGGGGGTGTCTCATTGCTGACTTATAAACTCTCCCTCTTGAAGCTCCATCCACAGTGTTGTTGTGCTCGAGAGAAGTGCACGGTAGGTATGTTTAAATTGGGGAAATCAGTCAAATGCATGCACGTTCTTGGGACCTTGAGACCAAGCATTTGTGCTAGCAGGAGAACAGCTTTCACGGCTGCTAGGAGAAATCACGAGCCTCTATATATGCAGAACAGCCCAAAGTCAGAGATCTCATCCCAGTTTTGACCGTATCAGCTCAAATCCCAGAAGCAGCAAAACTGCATTAGCTCAGAGCTCTGCCTAGATTAACACACTCTTAACAAAACTAATTAGCCCGGGCAGGGCTGATAATTAGCAACTCATTAGCTTGTCAATGCTGCTGAAGTACTACCAGGACCCATGATTTACACTTGGCAGGAAAAAACATTTATTAAACAGCATCAAACACAGGTAATACTTCCATTTAAGGTTCTTTTTTTAATCCAGAACAGTCTATTTGCCTAACTTCTGTTGACAAAGTCATTTAAATAAGCACGCTTTTCTATAGCAAGCCAGAGGGAGGAAGGAGGCCAGCAGCTCCCCAAGAAGTGGACACAGTATACTGTAGCACAAACCAACCCCTTCTGCAATCACCCACTGGCTTCCTCCCACCCCTGCTTCAGTTGCAGCCAGCCATGACACAGATGTGTTTGAAAGCAGTAGCTCATCCTCTCTCCTAACAGATCAGCAGTTTAGACCACAAACTCTGCAAACACACTCCAAGTAAATAACTTTCAAAAGCAATAATCACATACATAACTCTGGAAACTTCAAGCCTTTGCACTGGGATCTTTCTGCCCTTTTCTCTTTGCAAGGATTCATTTCACTAGCCTCACGGTGAACCAGGACTAGGATCAGCTTCAACAAGTAAACACAGAGTAAGACACTGGAGGCAGAGACAGAGCTGCGACCAGAGGACTGAAAAAAACAGACCTGGAGTTGTTTCAGATCAGAACAATACAAGAACAGACTCATTGCAAAGCTGTACAGCTGTGTCAATTGACGGTAGTGGGAAATAAAGTCATCCTGGGCACATCTGCATTGTCAGCTTAATGCAGCACTGAGTTCATTCTTGAAGCCCACTCCTGCAAGCAACCCCACAACAGCATTCTGCTCCCTGGTACTGTAGAGCTTTGGGAGCCCCAGGAACAGGCTAAGGGACATGATACGGTGCAACCTGTCCACTTATTCTACATCCTTCTATGGCATGTCTTTAAAGCAAGAATGACATTTGGAAGTTGTAAAACTGCAACAGGCATTCACTTGAATAAAACCAGCACTAACATAATCGTATGCCAACAGTGAAAGCCACAGGCTGGCCCATCCAAAGATGCTGCTTCACGGGGGTTGGTGGAGAATACAGCCTTGCTCTCTCACACAAGGGACTGGAGCAGCAATCACTCCAGAAGGGCTTGTGATGTGCCACTGAAGCATTTCAGTAGTAGCAGATGCAGTGTTGCTATGTTCTTTCTTTTAAATCATTAGGAAAGGTAGAAGCAAGGGGGAAAATTGACACTTACATTTAACAGATTCATTTTTCAATGCTGGAGGCTTCAAGTGGCTGCATGTTTCTCTGGATCCCAGGAGACTGAAGCTATCCAGTGTCATGCAGCCAAGTGTGATGTTGCCAAACTACAAATCAACCTCATATCCAGTAAGATGCTGAATCACAACATCATGAGAAGATGACAGGCCCCTGCATCACACTTCATAAATTGCAGCACTCATGCCTTCCAAACTAGTCTGCTTGCCCTGCTCAATAAAGATGTGACCTCAATGGTGCAGGCTCATCCCTTCCTACACCACCAAGAACCTCATTAGATCAAAGAAGAGTTGTGCCAGGAACTCCCACTAGTGCTGGGATTCTGCAATCACACATGCTGGGATTCTGCAATCACACATACTGCATAAACAGTTTGGCATTTTCTGACAGTGGCACTCAAGAAAAATTTAATTCAGGCTTCTACACGAATTTGGTGCCAAAAGGAAGTAACTTTGATATGGCAGTAAACAGCTCCATCAGCATCTCCTCCAGGAGGGAAAGCAGTGGAAATCACTTCCTTCACATGAAGGGGAAAAAAAGGCAAACAATGAAAGGAGATCATCCCATCCTAAATTACTATCAAATGTATTGCCTTATGGATTGTTTCTTGGAAACACCTGGAATTTTCCAAAGACACTCAACCTAAGGCAGAACAGGAGAGGAAGAGAAGCATCAGCCCAAATTATTAAAGACTGCCAAAGCAACAGGCAACTGTAAGCAGGGATTTACGGGAATCAGAACCCTAACAGCTCATCCACGCCCCTGGAAACTAGTCTTACTGAAAAAAAGGTGAAGGAACATGATGCATCATACTTAGCAACAACTGCTGGACACGGGGATTACAGCAGCTGAAAAACATGATTTTCTGTACATCTGTCTAGCACAGATACAGCTCTCGGCCATGAACATGCAGCAGTCAGATAATTAATGTGCACTTACAATGAGTAAAGTCTTTACTATCACGAGTTTATAGTGGCCACATTGCTCACATGGCTGACACAAACAGCAAGGATTGCTGGTCATGCCACATGAGATGCAGAAGTTCAGTTTATTCAAGATTACTTCCCTTAGAGAAGCCACAAGGACTTCATCTAGATGACAGCATGGTCTGACAGCAGAGAAAAAATCATGGATGACAAATGCCAAGGAACATACACTGGGAGAGATCATTTAACTTCCTGCTGTGCTTTTCTAAATTCCCATGGGCCAGGGAAAATACCCAGGCATCACACAGCAAAAATTAAAAAGCACAGAAAAGGCAAGGGTAGAAAGCAATCTTGCAGGTGATACACACCACCACAACAGGCACTTGCTGTGTGCCCCAAGCTTACACTTTATGTCCAGGACTGTCCATTCTAGGTCAGGCAAGAGAGAACACTAGAGCCAGCATGTATTCAGGAACCAGTGACTGAAGAGATCCATTTAGCTCACCAATCCATACAAAAAGTATATATAAAAGAAGCACCTTTCAGTCTGGTTTCCTAAGGAAACATGGCTTGTGGCACCATGCTGCCTAACTTCCAGTTATTCTCCTTTGAACTTTGAACTAGTTGAAGTTAACTTCAACTAGATGTGACAAAGCAGTAGTGTCCTTAAAGATACAGTTCTTGAACTGTTGTTCAACACTGGACAAGAAGCAGGCCCAAACTCACCCTCCTGCTAAAGGAGAAGCAGGCAAAACTCGGTCTCTTATCCCTTGTAGGAGGCCAATGCCACCACCTGGGTCTCTCCAAATTAGCCACAGCCCAAGTGGTTAGTGAGAGAGGGACCTGCAAACACTAGGAAGCAGAGGGGAAAAGCAGCAAGGAGGAATAGGAGGCATCACACAACTTGAGATAAGCAGTCTTGTTAGTTTTGGTGCTCACATGACTTCCTCTTCACTACACAGGTAATAGAGATGCATAAAACAACGAATGATGGACAACAGTTAAAAAGGGACTTCCCCTTTTTTATTTGGAGATAGAATTAGAAAGGAAAAATTGATGTTCACAAGCAATGTGTTCAGGAGAAAATGCATACATGAGAGTAGCTCTCAGACAGCAAAAGACAGTAAAAAGTGGGTAATAATCACAGAATCATTCAGGTTGGAAAAGACCCTTGGGACCATCGAGTCCAACCATCAGCCCTACTCTACAAAGTTCTCCCCTACCCCACATCCAAACGACCTTTAAACACCTCCAGGGATGGTGACTCCACCCCCTCCCTGGGCAGCCTCTTCCACTGTCTGATCACTCTTTCTGTGAAAAATGTTTTCCTAATGTCCAGTCTAAACCTCCGCTGTTGGAGTTTAAAGCTATTCCTTCTTGTTCTGTCACCCATGAGAAGAGACCAGCAACAGCCTCTCTACAACGTCCTTTCAGGTGGTTGTAGAGAGTGATGAGGTCTCCCCTCAGCCTTCTTCTCCTCAAACTGAACAGTCCCAGCTCCTTCAGCGGCTCCTCATAAGGTTTATTCTCCAGGCCCTTCAACAGCTTTGTTGCCCTCCTCTACACTTGCTCCAGCACCTCTTGTATTGAGGTTCCAAAAACTGGACATGATACTCAAGGTGTGGCCTGCCCAGTGCAGAGCACAG